GCTTGATCTTCTTTTGCACATGTGGTAGGGCATAAATTACATGTACATAATTGCTGCATTGTTTACATTTTTTTTCAGTCATGGAAATTTTTCCTGTATCCAAGTAGCCCCAGAGCACAGTGCTGTCCTCTGAAGATGCCCGGCCACAGAGACTGGTGAAACGTTAGGAAGAACAACCTTCAGAACACGGCCAAAGAGCCCAAAAAACCCACAACAAGCCCTATTTTACTTGATTATTCTTTGATCTTCCTACTTCACTTTTAAGTCTATTAAAGTGGCTATCAGATGGTCCAGCCAGAATCTTGTCCTGGTGGGAGATACTCTTTAGCTTTTATCCATTTGGCAAGGTGCATTGTTTTTGTTCTCCCTAGGTTTAACCTAGCCTCTTCTGGTTTAATTGGCAATTGTCTTAGCAGAGTGCAGTAAAGTAAGGACCTGTCCAGACTGGCCGTTTTGGGTGTGGGGTGGATCAAGCTACAAAGGGGAAGAGCAATGTGCCATTTAGTTTACACCTCTCATCAGAACAGCAAGTGACCCCTTGTACCCTTATCAGCTGTCAATTAAAGGCTTCCTCTGATTGTCTGCAGAGGGTCAGAGAAAGTGACTTTTCTTTACATCACTCCTTTCTCCCTCTGTCAATGACATTCCATTTTCTTCTTCCCATTCTCCGTGATCCCCTTGTTCTCCGCCCCACTTTCTGTCTCTCTCAGAATGTGGAGCCATGATGGCAGAGAGTTTTGGAGGATGCTATCTCCAGGCTAAACAACAAGTCTACCAAAAAGAAGAAGAAGAAGAAAAAAGATGCATATTCTACCGCTGGGCCAGAAAGGTGCTCAATACCTCTTAAAGGGGAAGAATGAATAATTCTAAGTAGAAATACTTCTGGGTGAGGTCTTTTTTCCCCCAATTCAACCTGTGCCATCAGTGACTGATATATCAATATTCCAGTATGGACAAGCCCTAAGCTTGAAGCTATGACCTAAGTTTGAGTATAGAAGGCCCAAGACTTGATTTCTGTGTGTGGAGCTAATGTGATGAAGGCCAGCATGGAGCACCCTAAATGGCTCTCTTTCCCCTGCAAACAGAGAACAAAGAACAAAATTTATTTGAAATGTAGGAAATGGTCTGTAAGGATGTGACCTAAAAGCAACCATCTGCAAGTAGTATTTTTCCTTTTTAATTTTAGTGTTTCAACTTGGGAGGAAATTCATGTACAGTACTTTGAAAGTTCATACAATGTTGTGAACACTGGCGGCTTCTATTAAAGGTGCCACATCGTTGTGCCCAAAAGTACAAAAACAGTTGCTGACAGAAGGATGAGGGTGTGGTGATGAAAGATCACTACAAAATCATGAAGCTAAATCTAAAACCACATATTTAAACCGAATATTAAATCTCCTTCAAGGTAGTATAATGCCTCCAGAAGTACCTTTGAAGCATCATACCTCTTCATACCAAGTAGCTGACCATAGATCACTTATCACATCCAGAACTATGGCATTATTTTTTAAGTGAGCTCTGTTGAATGTTTTGCCAAGTAAATATGCAGACATGTTGTAAGTGATTGTCCCTGGAAAGTGTCCAGGCTCTACTTCTGTCCAAATGAGTTGCCAAAAAAACAGACCTCTTACTGGAAATCAGCTGATAACCAGTATTTCCTGATTAATTTTTTATCAATGTTCATGGGTAGATGTCATTGACTTTGTGCATTGTTATCTCACAAGGATCATTGCAATTCATTCCACTGATTCCTTTTGCCAGCATTATTGTTAACATGCAACATGAAGAAGCTGTTAAAACTTGTCAGAAGATGTTGGTCTTTGTAATTTGTGAATAGTTGTGTGTCTCCTACACTGGCCATCTTGATGGACAGCTCAAAATATGTTTGCAGACAGACGTGCATGTGGCTGTACACAATTTGTCAATATTGTGTTTTGAGGTGTTCCACTAATTGTTCAACAGACATATCTACTAATGCAATTAGTGCCTCATCAGTTAGTGACAATATACCATATTGATTTATTTGTAGACAAAAAATCTCCCATAATGATGTGAAATTATGCTCTTTAAAAAAAGTTTAATCTTAGCAGGTCAAAGGAATCGGCTGCATTTAACAGGGTTTTTGACACCGAACCCCAAAACTCTGGACAATCTCTCCCAGCAGTTTCATGTAGGTGTTAAATAGCATCGGGACAAAACTGAACTGTGAGGCAAGCCGGCAGCCAGGTGTTGAACAGGAGTCCCCCAGCATTACACTTTGGATCCTCCCCTCCAGAAAATACTGTACCTCCAAGAATGCCATCCGAGAGAGATGGCCCAGAAGGATACCATAGTTTATGGTATCAAAAGCCACTGAGAGGTCCAGCAGAACCAACGGAGACACACTACCCTTGTCCAGTTCCTGACATAGGCAACCAAGCAGTCTCTGTCCCATAACCAGGCCTGAAGCCAGATTGAAATGGATCCTGATAATCCATCTCATCCAGGAACCTCTGGATCTGAGAAACCACACCCTTCTCCAACACCTTTCCAAAGAGTGGAATATGAGAGACTGTCTGGTAATTATCCAATACTGTGTATTCCAAAAAAGGGTTTTTTCAATAAGGGTCTTACTACTGCCTCCTTTAAGCTTGTTGGGATCCTACCCTGCTGGAAGGAGGCATTCATCACCCCTTGAGTAAATTCAGCCAGTCCCTCTCTGGCAGTTTTTATAAGCTAGGAAGGCCAAGGGTCCAGTAGACAAGTGGTAGCCTTCACTTTTCCAAGAGCCCACATCATCAGGCTACAAAAACGGAAACATATCCATTAATACAGGACAAACAGGACCCGTAGTTATATCTACAGGACCTGTATTAATGACAGCACCCAAGTCAGAGCAGATCTGAGCAAATTTGCTTGCAAAGTGCCTTACACATTTTTCACTGTGAACTCTAGTGTGGTCTGCATCGTCTTCCTAGGTGCTGACCACTTGATGAGCTCCACCGGGTGACTGTGCAGATACAATGATGGCACAGAAGAATGACAACTTTGCTGCCACCATTGCCACAGAATAGGCCTTCTAATGGGCACTAGCCTGTGTTCAGTTGGATTCACTTGGAGTTTTCTGCCATTATCGCTCTAGTATTTGTCCCACTTGTACAGTCACCTCCAGCTCCCCATAAAACAGGGAGCCAGTTTGACTCTGCTTCGTGGGAGGGGAGGCTTGGGAGTGATTGTGTCAACAGCCCTGGCCATTTCACCATTTCTGCAGAATTGCCTGCTAAGGTGACAGATAACTCCCCAAGAACCACCAGGAAACCATTTGGATCCATCAGCCTCCTGGGGCAGATCATCTTTATTGGTCCCCCACCCCTTCAGAGGCTCTGAGTTCCAGTAAGTCTAAACCCCACCAGATGATGATCTGTCCATGACAATGGAACTACAGAGAGTTCCTCCAAACCCAGATCACCAACTTCTACCCAAGTACAGGAAACAACTCTTGTGTATCGTGCAGCATGAGTGGATACAGATACCATTTGGTTGTCCCAGAGGACATGAAGTCCTGATCTGCTCCTGACAAAACTGCATCAGCATAGATGTTGAAGCAATGACGTCATACCCCCCCAGTGGTGGTTACCCTGGTGAAAAATATTTAGGAGGCGCAAAATTCTTAGAGGTGCCCCACCTGGTGTGCTCCCACAGCCACTCCTCACACTCCTCTTCCCCCTCCTGGCAGTGTGAGTCTTGAGCCACCAAGGACACAGGAGCCTACCACCGCTGTGAGCACAGACCTTGAGCACCTCTGTGACCACTTCATGAGAGGAGTAATAGAAAAAAAAGTTGGAGAGAATATCCTTCTAGAGAGAGGCTGCAGGCATAACGTCTTCGCTGTCTATGGATCTTGGCTCACTCCTCCTCCTGCAATGCCAATTGTGCACTTAGCGCACACAAAGGTACTGCCTCTGGCAGCTAGCTGGTCTTATGTACCTGGACAAGCAGCACGGAGAGGGTCAGAAGTAGGTGTTTCCACTCCCCAGTCTTCTACCCCCCCCCCGACTTCACTAGGCTTTCCCACATCTATGAGGAATGAATACTGTTCTACAACTTCAGAATTTAATATACAGTAAGGCTGTGCTATTGAAAGAAAATTGTCCACACAAAGAACTGGAGGAGGTTAACAAGATATAACTAAAATTCAATATAAAGGTAAGAGTACATAGGGAGTTGTGGGATGGAGTATTGTTTTCAGCATCTTGTACCCCAAGAATTTCTTACAATGTGACATGGCCTGGGCCTCCTCTCAGGTCTTTCAGAGTCCGGCCAGAGCAGTTTGGCTGGCACTGCTTATACAAAGCTTGTGGGACTCGCCTGCTTGCCTGGGCAGTGTGATGTGCGCCCAGAGCTAGACACAGTTAGTCCTCTGGACCATTTCTCCCTCTGGACCCCTTTAACCAGCATGGTCCTGCTGCCCAGGAGATTCTGGGGAAACAAAGAGTTGTCCCAGGCTTTGTGTACAAGATGGAGATTTCAGCTGCTAATTCTATCAGCAAAGCAGTTTCCAGGTAGTTTTCAGAAGCACATGTAGTTGCTTCCTCCCGTCTTCTGTGACTTCTCACATCATACTGCTCACAGAGCATACTTGCATTTAATCTCTTAAGAGTGCCTCACAATCTGGGGTTCTATGGGACACCTGAAACTTTCAAGCTCCCACCAGCCCTACATTTTGCAGCTCTGAAAGCAAATGTGTAGCTGTGGGTGTGTTTTTCTCTCACAAATGACTTTTAGTCACTTAGAATCTGCCAATAGTGGTAGTAATGGCAATTAACCATAGAGAAAATGGGAGCAAACTATCCTGGAATGCATGTTGTAGCTGAGGCTATTCAAAATACAAAGAAATCTCTGTGAGTTTTGACAACTTTGATAGTTTATTCAGAAATTGCAGAAACTCCTCCCCGTGTACTGATTAAACACGGAGCTGTTGCAATAGGGCCTGCCTTGAAGAGCGCTCTTTGAATAAATAGCAAAGTCCTGCCTGCTTCTGCTGACCCTCCACATCACGATGGAGGGGATGGCTCTCTACCTGGTAGCTGCTCTCCTGGTCTGTTTTCCAGCTCCATCACACAGCCAGCTGTTAGTAGAAGATAAATGTTTCTTAAGCCAGGAAAGCTTTTTGTGCATATAAGTGTTGTCTGCATTTTCTCCTCTGAAGTTATGCATGACAGAGATCCATCAGATTCAAGATTCTGCTTCTTTAGCAAGAATTTGGGATCGGCTCAAATATAGTGAATTTCTCTTTAGGTGTCTAAACATTTTGCTACCCAAGGCAGAAAAATCAAAATAGTCAAGGATAAAAATTGCCAGTTGGCAGCTTTTCAAATGTAATGCCAAATCTATTGCATGAAGTGGGGCTCTTCATTGCCTAATGACAGGGCCAGTCAGGAACTTCTGAGGCAGAACACAATTATTTCTTTGTTTTGGAAAAGGTTGAAACTGTGCTTTTGAAAAAAGAAGAATCTTGGTATACCAACCTGTGGTTGCATCTTTATCTAATCTAGCATGCTGTCTCCCATGGGTGGCAAGCCTCCAGGACATTCTTGAGTTTTTTGCCATTTGTATGTTTGCATGTCCTGGGAAGATCTTACAGTTGTGCTGGCTCCTGGGGTGTGCACTTACAGGCAAATGTACATGGGGGTGACCTCACAGAATGGTGGTCTCAGCAATAATCCTTAGATATCAGCACTGGCTGTGGGTTTTCAAGGGATGAGGGACAGGTTTCTTATAAGGTACTGTATTTTTCCGTGTATAAGACTATACTTTTGTCTAAAACTTTTAGACTAAAAATCGAGGGTTGTCTTATACATGGAAGTAAGCTGAGGAGAGTACAATAACAAGTGAAGGGGAAAGCAGGGATCAAATTGTTCCTGCAAGGCTTTGATCCCTGCTTTCCCCTCCACTTGCCAATCCTTAGCAAAAGGAAAGCAGGGATCAAAGCACTGCAGGATTGCTTTGATCCCTGTTTTCCCCTCTGCTTGCTAAGTCTTATGGGGCTTAACAAAAGGAGGGGGGGAGAATCAAAGAAATACCACAGCTTTATAAGGATGACTTCAGGATTTTTGCCTAGGAGACCTCTGTAAAGGTATAATCAAGATCATGTCCATGAGAAAAAAACACAGAGAAAATTACAATTTAGAAGCAAATCTCAGCTGGAAATAAGCAAACTGCTGGTTTACAGAATATTTTTTTTAAAAAAAGTGAACTGATGCTGAGTCCAAATGTAAAATACGTTTGTTGACCACTTTAAAATGGAATAACAGTTGCTCATGGAAGGGATTATGACTAAGGTAAGTTACGGGAGAGAGAGAGGGGCTAAAGGCAGGCAAACAGGAAAGCATGGACGGCTGCAGACTCCTGCTCCATGTGGGATCTTTCCTTTCCATCCTAGCTCCTGCCATGAACTGCCTGGTAGACAGAGTTTTAACAGTTACAGATTTTGAATTATATAGCTGCAAGTGTTACAGGCCAGATAAATGAATGGCGTTGCATATTATGTCTAGAAATGGATTGGGAAGTAGTATTTAGAAATGGCTTATTTTACCTTAGTAAGCTGCAGTTAGAATAGACCAATTTGACCTCATTGGAGGTGGACCCTGTAGGTTCAGACTCAACAAGGACTCAAAATGTCCGATTGTTCTGAGCCCAGAGGCTGAATCCTCAAAGCTAAGTGTTCTTAATTTTGGGGTTAGGAAAGGGGGGGCACCTTATAAACAGTGTGTGTGTGTTATAAACAGAAAAATATGGCAATACTTTTTATTTTTATTTGACATTTTTCCATCCCTCCCAACTTCTAAGAGAAAAAAAGTAACTACACATCAAAATAAATGGAATACCACTAATAAAATGACAATTGAACAACATAAACTAAAAAAAATGGTAGATTAGGCATCCTTCAGTCTCGAGAAACTATAGTAATGTGCTCTGAATAGAGGATTTGGAACAGCATCTAGTGTGGCTGAGAAGGCCAATTCGAGAGTGACAATTCCTTCCGCACTGAAAACAAATACAATCTGTCCCTTGTCCAGCTCCCTGGTTTTGCTGGTTTTGGGACTGCCTCTTTGCCTCGGCCTGCTGGACAAGGGTCTCTTCAAATTGGGAGAGGCTGTGAT